ATTGCAATGTAGAGTACAGTGCAGTCCACACATAGACTCACTGCACAATTGGTCGCTGTATTTAAAGCTCTGATATATTTTTATCGCACATTCAATGCATCCGAGAAAATGTTGAGCAAATGTTTAGCCGATTCTCTCTCTCCTCTCAGTGTTCAACAAAAACCATACGAAAAGTTTTTCTCTGCAGTGAATAATACATCGGGAAAAGCCATATGAAAATGAGTTCACATTCATTACATAACCAGACTATCACTTGTGCGAAGAGCTCTGCAATTAATTATATGATTATAATTAGTGTAAGTCTTATATGTGTTGAATCGATGTGTGATAGATATAAACATTTGCTGTATTGGCTTTCCATCCATTAAACTCATCCATTGATTGCATTAAAGCCATTGATTTGCGGCTTAACTGCTGAGGAGGACAGCAGTAGAGGACAGACACTGAGAGTGAGAGAGAAACACACTTTTTGACACACATTTGGGACACACTTTCGCTCAAATACATGACAATTCTGTACACTATATACACTATTCCTGTGCCCAACACAACAATCCTATGGAAGATATAAATAAATAATAAGTGTTTTCTTATATCATATGTAAAGAAGAAGAAGAAGAAAAGTTTTATGATGAAGAAAATAACATTCGTGTGCTTTTATATACATATATATGTTGTTTGAGAAAAATAACATTTAATGGTCTTAGATATTAATTATATCGCACATTAAGACCAACGCTATATATATTAGTAGCCAAACACCACACATACAAAGTTGTTGTGAGCGTTATATAAGTGATCATCGGATCAATCGATAGCCTCGTCTGGTGAACATCCGGGTCAGCCAGTGATCAGCTGTGATCGGTGTGAATGGTGTGATGAAGTGATTGAGATGACACTCAAATGGGATAAGTTGTCTCCATCCGAGTTTGAACAGCTCCAGGAGTGTATTCAGTGTAAGTTTGAAATGTGCACTTTCTATGTTCTTGTATATTGTATAATTTGTCCATATATTGTAGAATATATAATACATTGTATAAGTAGAGTGCATGTATGTGTTGTATGCAAACTCTGTGCTGTATTTATATAAATAATCGTTAAAAACAACTTTATTTTAACTATTTTTTGTGAACTTTTTTTCTAATGCCAAACATATTCTATATATAAATGAAGCCTAAAATGAATGCATAAACAGTTGAGAGAAACGTACGGTTCGTATGGTTTGTATGGATTGTGGGCTCAATTCTGTTGTCGGTGTTTGTGTTGCACTTATAATCTCCAAGTCTTTGATTCATTTGAACATATTTTTATTTTACCATCAGTTTTATCCATAAATATCAACCATAAGAGAAATATATCTTTAAAATCACAGCTATTTTTTGTTCATTTCGTGTTTTTACTTGGATTTGAGTTAAACTTTTGATTCCTTAAAACACACACGATCTCTCTCTCTCTCTCTCTCTCTCTCTCTCTCTCTCTCTCTTTCTACTGTAATATTAGTCTATATTTTTGTTGGTTTCCTTCAAATCGTGTTGTCGTCAAAACGAAAAGCAAAACTAAATTTTCTCTACATTTTATTATGTAATCGTTTTTATATTTATGTAGTTTTTATGGTATTATAAGAAAAATGGTTTTTTCTGAATTTGTTTTCCTAAATACATATACCATTTGAATACCAGAAAGCGCTCAAAACATATTGCGATTAAAAACATACACTAATAACTAAACACTAAATACATGTCAATAGTTATGAATTGTTTGTCTCAATGATAGCAGAATTGCGTTGAGAACTAACGAGACATATGGCTATGAAAAGAGAAAACACTTCCTTAAGGCCTTCCCTACAAAAACCCATACAAACCATACCATCGAGTGATGAGCTCTCTTAGTCCTTATCCTGTCTTAACCTAATGTAACTCAAAATCTTTATAAAACAACACAGAATTGCCTGTTATTGATAAATATACTAACCGTTTGTATTAATATATTAATATCTTTTCATACGATATACGCCTAAAAATCTCTCTCTCACTAACTCTGGCATTGATGTGAAGGGATATATCAGTCCTTATCATCCGTTATCGCACTGTATTACAAGAATTGATACATTTATTGATATTTTTCAATCAATAATTGTATTATTTTTATTTGAGAGAAACCAGAATTGATTTGCGTAGACATACACTACATGTACTCACAATATTTAATTGGCATTAATTTTATTCATTGAAAATATAATATCTTCTTATATTTATCTAAGATATCATCTTTTTTGTTGTGTATAATTTACTCTCGAGCTTATGAATAGTCTATATATGATATGTTGTGTAATAATTAGTTTCTAGATTTTGAATCATTTCAATAATATAACAAATTTAATGATAAATTCACAGAATATGGAAATTTTTGGTTTTTACGAAATATTTTCTCTCTCTTTATTTTCGTTTCAATCATAAGTCTTTACAATTCATATAAATATTATACAGTATTCACTGTTTTATAGTTTAATTTGCTTCTCAATTGAATGAGCATTTCTTGGATATATAATATATTATTCAGTTATACCTTTCGCTCTTAAACCCGGGATTACTGTTAATTCTTCTAAACTATTTTAACGGTTATTACTCCGAGTTATATAAACTATAGTTATAAACACATGACTTTTATCGCGAGTAAACATATAATGATAATGTTTTATGTATTCACACAAAATATTCATATACTGCTCATACAGTATGTACTGTACCGCTCACAGGATTGTTATTTATTAAAATTATTTTAACGAGGTACTAGAAATACGAACGAGATTATTGTGACATAGTTATAAAAGATTATTTTTCTACATTCAAAGTTTATTATTCTTAAAATATATTTCTTCCTTCAAATATACGCTTTCTATTTATACAAATGCATAACAGCTATGCCTTAGTTATTGCAATTTATTATGAATAATATTTAATACATAATCAAATATTTACTACTTTTTTAATAATATTATTTCGATATTTCACTTATTTTGGGAAATAAAAGTTATCGGTTTTATCGGTTAAAATCATAATATAATAAATAATAAAATACTGGATAATATTTTTAATATAAATTATATTTAGAGTATGTATTTTTATATAAAATATGATACATCACATTCCCATATTTATATACACTATATTCTTATAAATATATATCGTTTTTAGTTATTCTGTAATCATATCGTAAGACATATTGTCAATCATTAATTTCAATCAAATTTAATATTTAGGCTAAAAATAATTTATCCAATCCTTAAATTGAATATCTGATTGATATTATACTCGAATCGGTTGTCATTTTTTCGTTATATCAAACATTTGTGATATATTTTATCGTAAACTTCTAATTCCCAAACAACTCATACAATAATTTTAATGATTTTATATTTGAATAATTTATTTCAATACACATTACATAATGTTTATTAGAGTTATATTAGAAAACAGGTTTGAATTCATAATAAGAAAGAGTGGATAAAATGTATTGAATTTAGTGAGAGTGGGGGTAAACACATGACATCCCCGCCCGACCCCCGCCGGCACACCAGTCATACCGTGGCTTTAATAAGTGGCTGTAATTGTAATCTCTTATGCAATATCTGTCTCCCAAACAGCGACTTTCAAATTAACTTTTATTTACTCATAAAATATTTATCATTCATTTCTTCCATCAAAAAGCATAATTCATAATTTGATTGCTTTTAAACGCGTTTTCATTTACTCTCAAAAGGGAAATATAAACTCTGACAACGTATTTAAGCGCTAAAAATGGTACTAAAATATACTTCACAATTAAGTTAAACCATCTAGCTCTAAAATTTAGGCCAACGGGCATATTTAGCGAGTATAATTGCCACAATTAAATTAAGAATTTGATTTTATAGTTTTAATTTTTTGCGCCAGTATTGTGATGATATTTCATTCATATCTATAATCCTTTCACCTTACTCATAATTAATAGACATAAATATCATATTCATACATTAATACTCAAAAACATTTATCATATTTGAGTTTACTATCGTTTCAATTCAGATTTTCTATCATTTCACCTTACATATTAATTAATTAGCAAATCTATAGTAATATAAAGTATGAATATGATATTTATGTCTAGTGATTATGAGTAAGGTGAAAGGATTATAGATGTGAATAAAATATCCTCACAATACCGGCGCAAAAATTAAAACTATAAAATCATATTCTTAACTTAATTGTGGCAATTATACCCGCTAAATATGCCCGTTGGCCTAAATTTTAGAGCTAGATGGTTTTACCTAATTGTAAAGTATATTTTAGTACCATTTTCAGCGCTTAAATACGTTGTCAGAGTTTATATTTCCCTTTTCAGTTTATATGACTTTTAAAATCAATTCAATTTTATGTTAAATTTCATATTTTTGCACTTAATATAATATATTGTACTTATTTTTTGCAATACACACATAATTATCTAAAACATATCAGATATCAATTATGTCTTTAAAATTGTTGTAAAAATTAAGTTATATAAGAATTCAAATTATCCACGATTTTATATACTGTGTAGAAAATGTTGAGATAAAAAAACTGCACATAAATTGGAGTAAACATTAGGACTTGTTATTAAGAACTGAGCAAATATTGAATCAAATGTAATGAATATATTGATTAAAATGAGTGCCAAAATGCTTAAGTATTTATGCATTTATAGTGAACAGACAAGACATGAATAAATTTAATGATAAACTATAATAAGTATTATACAAATCTAATGGGCGTTAATAAAAAGTGGACATTAATTGTGTGTTTAATTATTAGATTCAACGAAGAAGTTGAGCGATGTATTGGACTCGGAGTTCAAGGAATCGGGAGCTCTTTGGCGGTATAACCCCGAAGGCGTGAGTCCTCTCATTAGTTGCATTTTCATTACATTTAATTATCGTTAATTTGTTCCTTATTTGCATTTAACATTAATTTTACAATTTTAATGTTAAACACATTGGAATTATACACTGAAAAGGACATGGATTTGGAGGGCTTTCAGCGCTTTATGGATATATACCTTGAGGTGGAATCTCCGCGAGAACTCATTAAACGACTATTTTTATCATTTGTTAAGAAGAATGTGTCGCCAATTAATAAGATAAGTGTCGGCAAACATTGTGTGCCCTCACAATCGGTACCCGAAGGAACCAAATTGCTTACTGTGAGTAATTTAAATCAACTTGATCATTTTTATATTTCATCAATTTTTAGCAATTTGTTAATTTATTCAAGTAATTAAATTATTCAAATTATCCTTTCTCTCTCTCTCTCTCTCTCTCTCTCTCTCTCTCTTTTTGTTTTGAATTTTAAAATTGCCGAATGTGGACTCACATATCCCGTACCTATTTATTCGTAAACATTCACATATCAGTCTCTCTCTCTCTCTCTCTCTCTCTCTCTCCGTTTTGTAATTTAAAATTTCTTTATTAATGAAAAAGAAAAGAATTTAGATTTTTGTTTTATTTTTAACCCTCTCTTTACTAACAGAGAGTATATAATAAGTGGTGTAAATAAAGTCCTTAACTCTTAAATTAATTGAGTTTTGTTTTTAGTGAAAAATATATCATAAAACGGATGTGTATTTGAGTGTAAAAAAGTGAGCACTTATTGAATGCCATTTGAAAAGAGAAATCAAATATTTTAACAATTTGTATCAAATGATTAGTTTAGCGGAGAGAATACGTGTCTTAAGTATTGGACAGTTTATTGAGATTTTGTGATCAGTTGAATGGTTTTTCGGTGTAAGAGTTGAGAGCAGATCTCTCCCTCTCTGTCACTGTTTTCTTATTTGATTTATTGTTTGCATTCGTTGTGACACTAATCAAACACTCTGTGATTAATGCCTATACAGATGGCTGCCGTCACTTCCACCACAGCCTGCGCTCCAATTACTTCCCACAACACGACCGGCGGATCGCTTCCAGAACTCACTCACGATATTATTATTCAAAACTATTGCGAATCCAATTCAAAGATTCAAAGAAGGATACCTTACATAACAGCGGAAGTGTCGACAAATCGCATTCAGCCGTTGGGGGACTCGCCGACAAAATTCACGGCCTGACTGAGAGGTTACACAGTCTTAGCTATCATCGCAGCGAAAGTGAATGCACCTCAAGAGGAAGGGCAGGTACATGTACGTTATGACCACTCTCTCCATCACTTCTCTCTCTCTCTCTCTCTCTCTCTCCCTCCCAATCTATCCATCCTTTCAATTATCCTTCTATTCACGAAACGAAACTAATATCTCAACCGCTGTCCAAACATTTGCGCTTATTTTTGTTGCTCTGACTGTCGCTTAAATATATTGCTTTCAATTCAATTCGCGAAATCTTTGCCAAAACTAGATATAAGAATTGACACAAAAAACAAAGATATCATATATTTAGGCGAATTAATTACTAGATATGAATAGTGGCTATTTGTGCGGTCAATTTGTTGTATTCAATGCTTAACTCTATCTATATTTGTATGCATTTTCTCGTTGTCTGTATTGTCTTATAGGGAGTGCAAGTATTCACCCTCTGGTAACTGTCACACAGAATTGTTTGGACCAAAAGTCGAGCGACTCTTCCCCTAATCATAGCCAAGTTTCGCGCAATTCATCGAAAAAGTCCAACAGTTCTATCCTTATTCACGCCACCAGTATGTATGAGCACTTCTATACTCTCTTTCTGTCTCTCTGTCTCTCTCTTTATGCAAACCACAAACCAATACTCAAATGCATTTCTCAGAGCACTTCACAAATACTTTCACACAATTTTCTACTATATTTCCTACTTTTTCTCTTCCGAATGATATCACAAATCCATTGATTCATCGCATTGTTTGTAGTCGTTATGTGTCATAACATTCAACAAAAACGCTATGTATTATTCATTTTGCGCTCCATTTGAATTCGCTGTAATTTTCTCAATATTTTTTATCTCTTTTATTATTATTTTCTTATATTGAAAATGAGAAAACACTTTCCAAACGCTCATAAGTTTTTCAGAAATAAAATTCTTTCGCAGAATTTAGGCATTATTTTTACTTAAATATATTCTGCTTTGCAAATGTTTCTCAATTTCTCTCTCTCTCTCTCTCTCTCTCTCTCTCTCTCTCTCTCTTATCTCTTTCTTTTTCTCACTCGTTATCTATTTTACAGAAGTCTTAAGATATTATTTTATAATATAATATATAAATGCATTTTATGGCAAACATGAGACCATTTGAAAATCTATTTTAATAATTTTTTGGTAATAAACGAATGCAAACGTAGAGTATATTTAATTACATAGTGTTTATATGTATAATAAAAATTTTGCAAAAAATTTCGTGCAAATCATCCATCGATTATATTTTGTTATGATTTTGAAAGACATTTCCTTTTTAAACATTTTGTTGTTTAGCTATAAAAGTATTTTCCGAGATATTATACAACACAACTGTCGTCAGCCATACACAGGCCGGGGGTATAGATGTGTATGGGTTTGGATACTATGTTTCCCATTACACTAAAAATAGTTTATTAGTTTAAGTGCTGCTTATAAATGAGTAGAAAAAGGCATAAATACTTTTTATTGATATTATTTTATAAACATATCGAAATAGTATTATTCTGTGAGATAATATACGGGGTGTTCCATAAGAAGCAATAATTTTTAATGTTTTAGTTGTTAAAAATGGCTTAAAGATCCTAATTTGAAATAAAATAATTATTTTTTTGAAAGACAGAATATGATTTTAAAGAACTAAATGTTTAATTAAAATTAAACTAATAATTTTTGTTAACTCACAGCTAATTTAATACGATATAAACATTTATAAATTGCTGCTACTCCTTAACCACCCTGTGCTCTGCTATATCCAAAGTTTTGTGCAATTCTGAGCATCTATTTTGTTGATATCACTAAACACTTAGTTTTTATTTGCTTTTCGATAAAATAAAATTCTTTAACAAATATTTCATAATATCCCTCAAATCTTTGGATACTTTATTTTATTAGTTTAAGTGCTGCTTATAAATGAGTAGAAAAAGGCATAAATACTTTTTATTGATATTATTTTATAAACATATCGAAATAGTATTATTCTGTGAGATAATATACGGGGTGTTCCATAAGAAACAATAATTTTAAATGTTTTAGTTTTTAAAAATGGCTTAAAGATCCAAAGGGTAAAGTGCAATGTTAATGGGTTCTGGGCCACAAATTTTACATTGAAAAATTTTATTTTTTTTATATTTGCGAAATTAATTATCATCGTAAGCATAATTAAAATTGATATAACTGATGTTCAGTAATGACGTTATTTATTATAAAAAACGTACATAACTGATACTAAATTTCTTAATTTTGATATAACTTTTATCGGTTATGTCAGATTTAAGAAATTCCTTCGGGTTTCGATTCTACTCTTCAATACCTTTCTATTTGTTATTTATTATAAAAAACGTACATAACTGATACTAAATTTCTTAATTTTGATATAACTTTTATCGGTTATGTCAGATTTGAGAAATTCCTTCGGGTTTCGATTCTACTCTTCAATACCTTTCTATTAATATATAATATGATATGGTTATTTATAAAATAAAATATTTGATTTTCAAGATTTTACCGATAAAAGTGGTCACTGTGGCCAGAGCCGAGGTCAACTGACCATACAAAGTATATCATAAGAATTCCTATAGAGTGTACTTTCATTCTATCACAATAATTCCAAAATGCAAACGGTCCCACAAATGCGCAAACTCCTTTGTAATAAAATTATTATTATTATTTTTTGAAACACAGAATATGATTTTAAAGAACTAAATGTTTTATTAAAATTAAACTAAAAATTTTTGTTAACTCACAGCTAATTTAATACGATATAAACATTTATAAATTGCATCTACTCTTTAGCCACCCTGTGCTCTGCTATATCCAGAGTTTTGTGCAATTCTGAGCATCTATTTTGTTGATATCACTAAACACTTAGTTTTTATTTGCTTTTCGATAAAATAAAATTCTTTAACAAATATTTCATAATATCCCTCAAATCTTTGGATACTTTATTAGATTTAATATTTCATTTGTTTTTTATTATTATATTTTCTTTATTGTCTATTATTGTCTCTGCGCTGAGAAACGCTGAAAATAAATCCCAAAATCTTTATTTTACTGAATGTATGGCAAAGAATACAAACAGGGATTGAAATAGTTTTGTGAGACAATAAAAATCGGTATACAATTTGTGTGCGAAATATAAAATTCAATCATCGGATCATACAATCGAGTGTATAGTGAGTGACACTTGAATTACAATCTCTAACATAAGTTTTGCTTTCGTTTTCTCCTTCAATACATTTTAATCGAATTCTTATTTGTTATGAAAATATAGTATTATATTAGAGGAGAAAAAGATTGTAACAAATGACAAGTGTTTGAGATATAAATTCAGCTCTTTTTTAATTAAAATTAGCATAAAATTTGAATTTATTTTTATTTTTAAATTAGTTTTTTTATGTGTTTGAATATGAATTGCTTCGAGCGTCTAATAGTCCAAAAATATTATGCTTTAATTCTTATTATGTGTGTTTTGCCATCAATTCTCGCTATGAATTTGTGTAATAATTTGTGACAAAAATACACATAACTTTCATTTGGTTGAATGCATTAATGCATTTAGTCCAAAAATATTATGCATTAATTCTTATTATGTGTGTTTTGCCATCAATTCTCGCTATGAATTTGTGTAATAATTTGTGACAAAAATACACATAACTTTCATTTGGTTGAATGCATTAATGCATTAAAAGGCCGGCAACTGTATTATGTTTTTTGAACTAATTTTTTTCTTCTTATTTATACTGTATATTGATTTTTGGTTTGGTTTTTATATTTACTGACACCCCATCTTCTCATCTCATTTTGAGCGCACAATTAAAGACCCAAAACCTAACGGCACTTCACTTAAGAGGTGTCATAATAGATATTATTTTTAAAAACTAATTATTTTTCTCCAACTATAGCATGTGAAGGCAAGTGCTTCAAAAAAGGCTTCAAAAATAAAAAATAGCCCTATGTTATTCATACAATATTCATATTCATGTTCCCTTTTCTGCCGTCTCATGAACTATAGTCTCTTTATTGTGTTTTCAAATTATAATAACATTAAGTATTCTTCAGAGGAATTTTTAGTTGAAAATTAATAAAATTCTTTGAAAACCAATTCAAACTCATTATTGATTGGAGGAATGAATGATATGAAAAATTGTTGCGTTAATCAAACAATATATATATACGAGAATATATTAAATTAAGGCCAATATTTCATTATTTAATTGACTTATTAGAGCTTATGATGTGGGCTAACATAGTGTGAGTGAAACACAATTTATTACTTGAAAACAACGCTAATCTTAAAACTATATTAATTATATTTTAAAGATTACTTATATTTTATTTGCAATTTTTTAGTATTATTTTTCGTTTAGTGTTAATCTTTTTATAATATTTTGTAAACAATATATCTTTAGTAAAAGACATATCTCTCGATCTCTCCCTTAAAATATCACTTTTGAATCCATAAATTTAATGAAAAAATGTTTTCCTTATCACTAAACTTATTGATTATATTATTTTTATTTTAAAAGTTTGTTTTATAATTTCAACACTTTATATAGTGTCAAAAGTTAAGATTATACTTCAAATATTTCTAGTTTTTAATTTTTAAATTCTGTTATTAACAAATAAAATTATCTGAATAATAAAAGTACACCATATAATATTGCCATTGTTATCAAGATGTTTAAATAACTTTATATTCATTTAACCGGACATTTATCATTTTAGACCTATTATTATGTGTAAAAATTATAGTGTTAAGATATTTGTGTACAAATACATGTAAAAATACACATACATACATGTACCCATAGAATTAAATTATAACAACATTATTCTTGTTAATTAACATTTAAAGAATTTATTAGACGATTTTATGAATTAATAACTTACTATTTTTTACCAATTTAATTTTTGAGATTTTGGCAACAAATAACCACCAAAGAAATTACATTTGAAAACTGTATAATTATATTGTGTATTATTTTTCAATTAACGACCATTTTTTCTGATAATCGGTGAGCTTTTAGCGAAAATATTGATTGACTCGAAGTGTTTCATCGAAATTGTGTTTTCTCTCTCTCTCTCTCTCTCTCTCTTCCACTCAATCGCTAAATAACACTAATTTTGAATTTATATATACTTTTGATATATAA